TAGGGGGTACAACCCTATTAGGGTTTCCTATTTGTACTCACTTCTTTCATAGTCATTCCATTTCTCGTTCTCTCTTTCACACCTTAACCCCAAATTCATTAATTCGAGCTTTGTAGAATGACACACAGAATGACTACGTTACTTGATATGAAATTACACGCGACCTAGGCTGCACCCAGCAACCCCGTTCCACCCCACTCATCGGAGTATAAAACGCACTCATTCTCGCATTTCCATTCAGTGATGTTCGACCACGCTTCGCCAGCTTGGCAGCCCTAAGGCTTTGCCAAAGTAGTCGAAGCGCGGTATGAAATTAAAGGGTGTGAAACTATCGAGAATAGGGTGTATTTGCCACCAGCGACACCCCCTCACAAAATCCACCAATTCCCGCAATAGTTCTACTGGCGCGTCCCTCCATCCAAATCCACCGCGCTTTGAACCCAATCAAACGCACTGAGCCGCTCCATGTTACGCCTTTTTTGTCTTGTTCGCAAATGCCCTCGTTCCCACCTTTCCCACCATCACCCACCTCCCCCTGATCTTGCTGAACGGAGCTAGTACACCCTCATTCTCGTTAGACTGGCATATGTTATACCGACCGCGACGCTTAGTGTAGCCGCAGCGGACCAAAGAAGGTCCTATCACATGCGTTATACTGACAGTTTGACCCAGGGCGTTTAGTCAAGGTTCTATACGTTCTAGAATGGTACTGCTGTTTTCTAAACGGTTAAGACAGTTATTCAGCGTTAACGGAATTTTACGGCCCAAGTCTGGTTTCGTCGCCTCGTGCGACTTGGCCCGCAACCGAGTTATCTCACCAGCCCGCTACGTCCAAACACTGTAGCCACTGCTTCCGCCGGTGAGAAGACTGAGAATGAGGGTGTACAAGGCGTTGCCGCGTATTACGCCTTATTTTGGCAACCTGCCACCTTTGTCTTGCTTGCTAAGCCGTCGTCACCAGCGACAGGCAGCGCAAGATCGCAACTAGCCAGTGGGCACACCTCCTCTTTCGGAGTCCATCAATCTGCACCGCACATCCGAAGCACAGGGTTCTACCGCCTTCCAACTCCCAAGTCCCGCCTTCCAAAACTACCGCGCTTCGAACAACGCAACCGCACCACACCGCTCCAGTTTCCGTCCCGTGACTCCGCCTTCCTAGCTTCCCCCAACCGCCCTCGTTCCCACCTTCCCCTCCCCACCCATCACCCACCTCCCCCTGACCTAGCAGACTACCGCACCGCCAGGATCGAAGGTCCAATATCCTCCCAGCCACCGCACTGAAACCACGCTTATCGTCTCTGAAACCCACAGAACCAACTCAACCCCGTCAAAAAAACGAACCCGAGGGAGATGAATCCCGTAAATTATTTACTTCACCACGTCATTATTACAGGCGTTGCCGCGTGTTACGCGTGCTGCTGACAGCGTTTAATTAATAGCACGGTTCTGTTCGGTGCGTTAGGACCAAATTGTTGAACATGCATCATCCCTCTCCCACGGTCCCAACCTCCCTTCCTCCTCGCCATTTGGCTCCCTTCCTCCTCGCCATTTGGCTTCATCTCCCACCCAGCGAATCCGCCACTGGCGGGGACAGCTCACAGCTGCTGTATCTGCCGTATTCTCTCTTCTGCAGGAACACGCACCATCTTTTGCTCAGCATTTTCGACAGAACCCCAACATACACCCGGATGCTCGACAAATCGCCTACTCAAATCATGTCCCACATACCCCCGACACTGGGACCAGTTGGGTTTCACAGGCAACGGCCCGCAGATCACGGACCCACGGGCAGGGGTGGTTGGCCCACGCTAAGGCCCGATGAAAACGGACAGAAAGGTAAGCATCTGCATACAGGAAACCTAGTGGGCTTTAAGAGGCCCAACTTGCCTGTGAACGAAGCGCGATGAAGAATTTTAACTGCCAGGAGAAAAGAGGGCCTCTCTCGAGCATGAGGTGTATATTTAGCTTCACGAATCATCCCGAAAGCATGCGCCGCAAGCGTTCAAAAAAAGCGTTCCCTAAGGGCCAGAAGCACCTGGTGGTCGTCGTGGTGAGTCGTGGCTCTTCCCGTGCCGCGCAACAGCAAGCTTCCGCGGCAGAATAGCGAAGCAGAGAACGCTGCTGGCGACAGCAATGAATAGCGATCGCCGATTCCGGTGTTGCACCTGTTAGCCGCGTAGTTCCTATGAAATAGCTCCTGGTTGACAGTTACTTCGTCGACTCTCAATTGAATTTTCCATTGCAAAGCCACACATCGTCGCACCTGTTGCCGTCGCAGTCGCGGACGGCGGCGCATCCTCGAAAGACCCCCAACTCACCGACGGGAACCTGCGTCCTATTGATGTCGCTGCCGCGACGCGTCATGACGGCTTACCCTCGGCCGTCAATGACGGTGCACGCGGCGCCGGTTCGTTCGAGATAACAGACTCTGATATCGATATTATCGTGGCGCTCGATATGCGCTGGAACAACCTCGACGATTCTCAGCCAGACGGTGCTGTATACAGCGGTGCTGCTGTCGATTGCGACGGAAATGGCGGAAGTGGCGGAACTGCCAGCGGCGGCTGCCACGTCGGCGATCTGCGACGAAGCTCCAGCTCCGCGAGCAGTGTCGACAGTAGCGACGGCGGTGCCGGCGGCAGCGGCGGAAACATTTGCTTTGATATGACGAAAATTACAGGCACACGCAAAAGAAAGCTCCTAGCGGATTCGTGCGACCTGTTCCCGAGCTTTGAACCCGTGTCTGAAACGCAGTCTCCAGCCAAGCGGAAGCGGCGTGAATTTCTACCGTCGCTGGTCACCGATCGTGATGTGGATCTTTGGCTTGTGGACATTGTGAGTCGCGACGACAGAACGATACGGGTTATGCTACTTTCGCGCCTTCGTCAGCTTCTGCTTTTTCTCCTGAACATATTGATTTGAAAATAAGCCTTCAACATCCATCTTCACAAGGCATCATCTTCAACGACGCGGTTTTGCTGCCTGATTTCTCGGCGCGTGATTCTAGTGTAACAAGCCAGCTGTACACTGATGGATGTAGTACGACGAAGAGGCTGGATGTGGAGCAATCTAAAGGTGAGGCGGATGATGGTGCATATGTGGCGCTGTTGGAAGCGCAGATTGCGGCGATGGTGCCGGAAGTGCTAGAAGAGATGGATATGGCGATTATGTTGGATCTTGATGCATGCGACTACAGTACCACTAACCTCCACTTGTACCACTCATAGCTGTTTTGCAAACCATTACTTCCAAACCCGTAACTGTATCTAGCGAATCATGTGCGAATTTCCAATAACGAGGTAGTCGTCAGAGATTGGAGGGTTTTCATTCAACGTGACCTGCTTGCCTGTCATATTGGGACATCTGTCTGGCAGCTACGTCATCCGTGCTGTAATTGATTTTGCTCCGCTGGCTATTTGTAGGCATCAGTAACCAGAGGCAGGGTGTCGCTCAAGCTTCTTCGAAATACGTGTGCGAAGACAGATTCTTTCGCGGAACCAAAACCTTTGCGGTTGCGACATGTAACCCAATGGCAAAAACCTCTCTCGAGAAAGCCATCGCCAGTCGCGAGAGGATCACCTGCAGCTGTGTGTGTTGTGGTGCGCGCTGAGGGCGTGTCCAGCTCGTTCATTTCGGGAAATCTAGTACCTCCTCACGATCCGGGGTTCAAAACTGAACACTGTACCTATAAACGAACGTGCCTTGCTCGAGTCCACCCTTTCTGTCATTCTGGCACGCGGACACCATCCCCCCACACAGACTTCAACAGTGCAGGGGCCGTGTGGCAACCAAGGTAACCAGTTCCCTCGTCAACCAAAACGTTAGAATTTTCGCCAGGCCAACACTTCCACTATAGGTTTTGGCGAGTGTCAGGCGGCACGTGCGAAATCAAGCGCGCGATACGATGGGCACTCACTGTAGTGGGCAGGACGCGGTTCTGTACCATTGTTCGATGCGCACGCTGATTCCTGTAACGTGCGTCACACGATTCGAGGTACGTGCAGGGGGTGTGCCGTATCGTGAACGGGAGCTGATCGTGTCTGGCATTTTTGTAAAACTCAGTGTTACAACGCAAATTGTGGTAACTGAAGGGCTTTACGAACAGTAAATGAACGAGCTGGACACCCCCTGAACATTCTTCATACAGTAGCAGGTTTCACATGTATCTTTTCAAATGTGGTAGGTTTCGACATAGAATGTGGTAGTCAGCACGAGATTCTTTTAGCGGAAACGGGTCGTCAGGCCTGATGACCTGTGACGACCTGACGACCTGCTGCCCCGGGCAGAAAAAACCTGAAACCCTATCGGATGGCATGCCATCCGAGGGAGGCATCAACCCTAAATCAGAGGGAGGCATGGATTTAGGGCTGATGCCTCCCTGACCGGATGCATGCCTGACAGGGGTTTACTTTTTTTTGCCCGCGGGCAGCGAGCTCCACTGGGCGACGACCTGAACTCGCTGAGATATATTCGGCGATTTATTGACATTCGACAGGCCCACAGTGGTTCATTTGAGTATCCCGCCTTCGATCCGTCCGCTAGTAATTACTGCGTTTACTATGGCCTTAGACCTTTCTTGCCAGCCATTTAGCTTGCTCTCCCAACCGTCGGTACGCTCCCCTACGCCAGTACACAAACGCATCGCAAGAATCCTTCCTATCTACAAGAACCGCATCGCGTCTATCAATTTGACTACGCCACCGCGCTCCAGTCCTGAACGCCGTTTCGCGGTCTCCGCGTCGCATCAGTTCCAGATACCAGCGCGCCTCCGGAAAATCATTTCCACCTCCCCGTCTGCTTCAGAAGCTCAACCTTCAGATGCGCTAAGCCAAGAAGAGCTCCTTAAAGACGACGCCGCTGCTTACTATGGAGACCTTAGTGATGTTTCCGGCGGTAGTATCGCCGGCGCGAATGGCGCTGAAGCGGAGCAGAAGCCAGACGATGCCGCCACGTGTCTTTACTTGATTCGCGTGAAGACAAGTCGAGAGCCTCTTTCCGGCATGTCGTTGCCAAGTGGCGGCGTCCTATTGGCTGTGATTGGAGAAGTGGGTGACACGATTTCGGTGCAAATCCAGCCACAGGATGACTTGGAATCTACGGTTCAGAAGAGCGTTGAGAAAGACGAGCGGACGGACGCTGCAGCCACTGGAGTGTTGCCAGTTGTCGCAACGGCATTCGCTGCAGGACAGACAGCGGAAATTTGTCTGACCGCGCCTAGCATTGGTCCGGTGGTGGCTGCTTGGCTGGCGCCTCAACGTGGCGCCACGTGGCGAGTTGACAGCGTGGCGGTTACTGTTGTCCCCCATAGTGCAGCAGAAAGAAAGGCAGCCTCAGCAGAAGCAGGAGCAGCAGATGTAGTGACAGCACCAGTTGATGCAGCAGTTGATGCCTCAGCAGTAGAATATACGCTCCATCCAGGACCTTACTCCTCCACTTTTCTTGGCGACCCTTCCGGTGGCGGTAACAGTGGTAACCCCGACACACCAACAGCGATTCAATTAAGAGTGGCTCAATCACAAATACTAGATCCCTTGTTTGCTCTGGCAGGACCCGAAACTCCTGCTACGGCTGCCAAATCTGCGGAGGAGGCTCGGAGAAAGAGGGAGGAAGGGTTGAGGGAGTATGAAGAACTGAAGAGGCTGATGCTGCTGGTTACCACAGGGTTGGTGGTTACTGGGACAGGAGCTGCTGGGTGGGTAGGAGGAGTGGACACTGCTGTGGCGTTTGCTGCAGGAGGGGCGGCGGCGTTTGTCTACTTGCTGAGATTGCAGAACCGTGTCGATGAGCTTCCATCGGCCGACTGGACTGACAATGCAAAACCACCTCATATAACAGCATTGGAGGCATCAGGTGAATCGAACACCATGCTTGACACTCCCGGCAGCGGAACGGCGGTGGAAGGAGGAAGCACGGATCCTGAGACTGTTAACCTGGTGCGGAGTATTGGAGTCCGGGCGGCGTTAGCCACTGTAGCCATTGGATCAGCTGTTGCCCTGTTGGGAGGCGTTGGTGGTGGCGAGGGCGATGGGGGGCTCTTGACGGGAGGGTTGCAGGCTCTGAAGATTGAGCCACAGCAGTTTGCTGCGGGTGTGTTGGGCTTCCTTTCTCACAAGCTTGCTCTCGTGCTGGTCGCATTTATGAGTGGGAGTGAGCATACGGATGAATAGCTTAATGATACCTGAGTCCAGTTTAGATTTATTGAGATTGGTTCTCATCCCGTCATGTTCCCAAGCTACTAGGTACATGCATGGTTGTTGTACCAGTATGTTGTATGTGGCTACCCAATGACCTGTACAGGTACGGTATGTGTGATGACCTGTACATGTATGGTATACGTGGACGTTGATTTCAGTTTATGCAGGTAACTGTTGCGATGTTACGTGCCTTTGTTTGATCATCGGATCTTTCTGTTCTCTCCTCCATCTTTGAATTTCCTACTTGATACTGGTAGGCTGCATGTGAGCATCTTGATTCTTTGCAAATCTTCAAGTTACACTTCTTGTTTATGATCTGAAGTCTAATCTCCACTGACATGTGTATTGTGTAGTAATGAGCAACCTCAAATGTACAGGTCTTAGATGACTCAGGAGACCTAGAAGCTCCTAAGCGCCGTCGATCTGACCGGTCCTCTACGGATGATCGCCACGTCTGCAGATTGAAAGTTCTCGAGACGCCCAGTGCAATTTTTCCGTGCCGCACTTCAGCCCAATGTCAAGAAGTTGCGAGGCCAATCTGTCTGGTGGTTCCAGCAGCTTCTCGATTTGATTGAAATGAAAGCCATCCTTCCATTCTACAACTTTCTTGCAGCTTCTCGAATCCCAGCACCAGTGCCTTATCCCTGCGTCCCTCAATGGCTACATATATGGATGAACTCGCCATGTTAGATTCCTCAAAATTCAAGCAATCAGCTCTCAACTCTCTCTCAACGATTACACTCTCGCGCGTAAGTCTTGACCTAAACTAGCTCCCTGACACTTAGTGACGTTCACTCAGCTAAGGACTCTGTCCGCTCTTCGTTTTATTTATCACACTACCTGACACGTCTCTCTCTCCGACATGGCGAAAGGAGAAGGCCCTGCCATTGGAATCGACCTCGGCACGACCTACAGCTGCGTGGGCGTGTGGCAGCACGATCGCGTTGAGATCATCGCCAACGACCAAGGCAACCGCACCACCCCGTCCTACGTGGCATTCACGGACACGGAGCGCTTGATTGGCGATGCGGCGAAGAATCAAGTGTCCATGAACCCTGTCAACACCGTTTTCGGTACGTCACGTGCTGAAATCATCCACCATTTCGGACACCCCGATTCCTCTACCCCTACTTCCTACTTCCGCACTGAATTATTGCATACTTTGAATGTGCCTACCCTCGCTGTTCGTCGGTTCAACTGTTTCTCACTTCATTTTCTTCACTCGTCTTGCTTACAGATGCGAAGCGTCTCATCGGGCGGCGGTTCTCTGACGCGCCCGTGCAGAACGACATCAAACTGTGGCCGTTCAAGGTGATCGCAGGCGCGGGCGAGAAGCCAATGATCCAAATCGAGTACAAGGGCGAGACCAAGCAGTTCGCCGCGGAAGAGATTTCGTCCATGGTGCTGACGAAAATGAAGGAGATCGCAGAGGCTTACCTTGGAACTACTGTGAAGAATGCGGTGGTGACGGTTCCGGCGTATTTCAATGACTCACAGCGTCAAGCGACGAAAGACGCGGGCGTGATCGCTGGGCTGAACGTGATGCGGATTATCAACGAGCCGACAGCAGCTGCTATCGCGTACGGGCTCGATAAGAAAAATAGCAGCTCGTCGGAAAAGAACGTGCTAATCTTCGACCTGGGCGGAGGTACTTTCGACGTGTCGCTTCTTTCGATCGAGGACGGCATTTTCGAGGTGAAGGCGACGGCTGGCGACACGCATTTGGGTGGTGAAGATTTTGACAACCGCATGGTGCACCACTTCGTCCAGGAATTCAAGCGGAAGTACAAGAAGGACCTGAGTAACAACCCGCGGTCTCTTCGCCGTCTTCGCACGGCCTGCGAGCGCGCCAAGCGAACCCTCTCCTCCACCGCGCAAACCACCATCGAGATCGACTCGCTCTACGAGGGAATCGACTTCTACACCACCATCACCCGCGCGCGCTTCGAGGAACTCAACATGGACATGTTCCGCAAGTGCATGGATCCAGTGGAGAAGTGCCTCAAGGACGCAAAAATGTCCAAGGCGCAGATCCACGACGTGGTGCTCGTCGGCGGCTCCACGCGCATTCCCAAGGTGCAGCAGCTGCTGCAGGAGTATTTCAACGGGAAGGAGCTCTGCAAGAGCATTAATCCTGACGAGGCTGTGGCGTACGGCGCGGCGGTTCAGGCGGCGATTCTGAACGGCGAGGGGAACGAGAAGGTGCAGGACCTGCTGCTGCTCGACGTGACGCCGCTCTCGCTTGGATTGGAGACGGCTGGAGGGGTAATGACGGTGCTGATTCCGCGGAACACCACGATTCCGACGAAGAAGGAGCAGATTTTCTCGACTTTTTCGGATAATCAGCCGGGAGTGCTGATTCAGGTTTACGAAGGTGAACGCGCTCGGACCAAGGATAATAATCTACTCGGGAAATTCGAACTCTCGGGAATTCCGCCGGCGCCGCGTGGCGTGCCGCAGATCACCGTGACGTTCGACATTGACGCGAACGGTATTCTAAACGTGAGCGCGGAGGACAAGACTACGGGGCAGAAGAATAAGATAACCATTACGAACGATAAGGGCCGACTGAGCAAGGAGGAAATCGAGCGGATGGTGGAGGAAGCGGAGAAGTACAAGGACGACGACGAGCAGCACAAGAAACGGGTTCAGGCGAAAAACGCGCTCGAGAATTACTCGTACGGCATGCGTAACACCGTTCGCGACGACAAGATCGGGGGAAAGCTGTCGCCTGAAGATAAGAAGGCGATCGAGAAGACCGTAGATGAGACGATTGATTGGCTGGACAAGAACCAGCTCGGCGACGTGGACGAATTCGAGGACAAGCAAAAGGAGCTCGAAGGGATTTGTAACCCGATCATCGCGGAAATGTACCAGGCTGGAGGTGGACCAGTGGCAGGAGCAGGAGGTGTGGGGGATGTGCCTATGAGAGGTGGTTTTCCTGGAGGAAGCGACGGGCCGAAGATTGAGGAGGTTGACTGAGGGAGGGGAGTGGCCAAATCTGAACTAGACCGTATGTGTAAGGAAATTTCCTTTTCCTTACTTCGCATCCCCGCTCAACGCGTATATCACGGTAGCACCTCAGTCAGCACCGTTACCACTCGCATCAATAATCCGCCCGCCATTTTTCGCATGTCGCACCCCGACCTCACGGCTCGGCGGTAACCCGCGCTCCGGACCTCCGCCTCGACACTTTTCCCAACCTCAGTCCTAGGCCCGTCGCGCGACAACCACAGTCCATTACCGTTACCACTGTAGTTTCGCTATATAATCCTTCGCTCATGCCTTCGCTCATTGTACTCGTGCTTCGATAGTGCAATCTTCGTTCGCTCACTCCATTGCACCCGTAACACTTGGTATTCAGAGCCTACGATCTCTTCTCGGACCGCATTCACACCTTCGTTCCCCACTATCTCAATTTTTGGGGGGGGGTAGACGTCTCTCAGCGATCAAGCACCGCCGCTCGTAGTGCTCTCTCGTAAGCACGCACGGCCACGACAGAGGCTCTCGCTGCGCTTGCCCGACACCCCCGCCATGGCTGAATTTACGCTCGCGACGTTGACGCAGGAGCAGCTTGACCGTCTGATCCGTCAAGTTGAAGATTCAGCACTCGAGATTGCGACGCTCACGGCAGAACGTGACTCCGCGCGCCAGCAATCTGCGGCGAATGCTCCAGCGTCACAAAATGCACCTGCACAGTCAGACGAGCCGATTGTCATCTCGTCCGGCACACCAACACAGCACGACAGCGTGGGACAGCGCTCAGGCGCAGCCAGTGACAGCGCCGCCCAGCCAATGCCTGGTATGGGAGGAAACCGGGCCGCACCAAGCCCACGGGAGCCTCGTGAAGCCCGTCGGCACGTGGAGTTTGCGGCAACAAGTGGCGACCAGGCAATCATGGCGCCGATGCCACTCAAGCCGCAGCGCCCGCCCTGTTTCGACCCGAGCCAGCGTGGTGGTCCGACGGTTCAGTCGTGGATCTTCACGATGAACGTGTTTTTTTACGCGAACTACGTCGAGTCGGACGCAGCGAAGATACGATACGCCGTCTCGCTGTTGAGGGGCCCCGCTATGGACTGGTGGCGAGTCATCGTGACGTCGCCACGCGCCTACGAGCCACCGTCGCAAGAGGAAGGGCCCGCGGGCCCAGCAGTCAACTGGATTTCATTCTGCGAAACCGCCCAATACAGCACGTGGGATGCGTGGTGCGTAGGGCTTCGGGCGCGCTTCGAGCCGATTGCGGCTTCTATTTCGGCGCGTCAGAAACTGCGCACTTGGCGGCAGCTCGGGTCGGTTCAAGACTACACGAGCGGTTTTCTCGCATTATGCGAGCAGGTCGGCTACATGCACGAAGCGGAGCGGGTGGACCGTTACGTCGGAGGGCTAAAGCCGGAAATCTCGCAGGAAATAATGCTACGCGAACTCTCGAATTTTAACGAGATTCTTGCGCTCGCCAAGAAAATCGACATTTTGCGCCGTCCGAGACCGGGGTCCTACTACGGACATCGTCCTCGAGGACCGATCGAGCACGCCACCGTACACGCCGTTGCGACGAATGCAGCTGCCGCACCATTCAAGGGGCGCTGCTTTGCTTGCAACAGGCCGGGCCATCGTAAAAGTGAGTGTCCAGAGGAGCTAAGGCGCCGCGGAGCAGAGCAAGGGAGGGAGTCTCAGAGGCAGGGAAACGCCAGCAGTCAGTAGAAATTGGGCCGACTACTGACGAGGCTGCCTGCTCGCCCAACCACACCGACCCTCACCGAGTCACAGTACCGATTCACGCTATCGATCGGGCTCGGATGAATAAGGAGGGTACAGCGACGGATTGCCCAGTACTGATCCACGGGAAAATACAGGGAGCAGCAGTCAAGATTTTTATCGACGGAGGAGCTAGTCACAGTTTAGTTAATACCGCGACCGCACGGAAACTTCAACTGACACTTAGCCGGTGCTTACCTGAGATTGATGCACGCTTAGTCGACGGCACGCCGCTGGCCATACGGGAGAAGGTGGAGAGAGTAAAAGTTCGCTGCGGAGGGAACTTCGGGTTTACACAAGAAATGCTCGCGACGACACTGGATGGGCACGACATTTTACTAGGACGTGATTGGTTGCGACGTTACAACCCGAGAATCGACTGGACGACAGGCAGCTGCACTGTGCGAAGTAGTGGTAACTGGGTCGAACTACCACGCTGGCAGTCGCCTGAGTCGTCGACGGTCCACGTCAACGCCATAACAATGAAACGGGCAGTCGCCGCTGGAGCTGACGTGTATGCAGTGGACATCGCAGTGGTAGGAGAAGCTGAGCAGCCAAGTGATTTTCAGAAACTGCTGACAGCGGTACCGCCTGAACTACAGGAGCTATTGAAACGGTACCCGGGGATTTTCCCCGACGACTTACCGGAAGGACTGCCACCTCAGCGGGCGCACGACCATAGGATAGAGTTAGAGCTGGGGGCACAGCCAGCTGTACAGCGCCAGTTCAGACTGACACAGCCGGAGCTCGACGAACTGAGGAAGCAGTTAGATTACCTGTTAGCGAAGCAGTTTATCCGACCGAGCTCGTCGCCGTTCGCCGCACCGATACTATTCACACCAAAAAAAGATGGAGGGTTTCGCATGTGCATCGATTACCGAGCGCTCAACAGGGTTACAGTGAAGTCACGATACCCCATTCCCCGCGCCGACGAACTGATCGACCAGCTGCGAACAGCACGGGTGTTCTCAAAGATAGATTTACGGGGAGGTTACCACCAGATTAGAGTCGAACCATCGGACTGCGCCCAGACAGCCTTTAGGACTAGGTACGGGTCGTTCGAGTATACCGTAATGCCTTTCGGGCTGACCAACGCACCCGCAACATTCCAGATGACCATGAACGAGGCGTTTAGACCACTTTTAGATAAGTGTGTGATAGTCTACCTCGACGACATTCTCGTCTACAGCCGCGATAAGCAGCAGCATTTAGCGGACCTGGAAGCAGTGTTAAAAATTTTAGAGGAGCATCGGTTATTGACCAAGGGGTCTAAGTGTGAGTTCTTTCGGGATAGGTTAGAATTTTTGGGGCACGTTATTTCGGAGGCTGGGGTTGAGATTGACCCGAAGAAGCTGGATACGGTCAAAGCTTGGCACCCCCCGACAAACATCACGGAGCTGCAGAGTTTTTTGGGTTTTGTTAATTACGTCCGTCGGTTCGTCCCCGACATGGCACGCTTAACTGCCCCACTGACGGATCTGCTGCGGAAGGGGGTCGTTTTTACGTGGGGGGAGAAAGAGCATGCTGCCTTCTCTACCCTAAAAAATGTTCTCTGTTCACCGCCTGTCCTGCGCATTGCCGACCCACACCGCCCATTCGAAGTCATTACTGACGCAAGCGACATCGCTATCGGAGCCGTACTGCTACAGGATTTCGGGAACGGCCTACAGCCCATCGCATACGAATCACGAAAGCTGCACCCACCTGAGAAGAATTACCCGATACACGATCGCGAAATGCTTGCGATCGTGCATGCGTTCAAAGTGTGGCGCTGTTACTTGACCGGCGCAGACGTGACAGTACGGACAGACCACCGATCACTACAGTATCTCCGTGCACAACCCCACCTCAACCCACGACAGATCCGCTGGCTCGACTTTCTCGAGTCGAATTTCCATTACACGGTCACCTACAAAAAGGGAGCTTCCAACATTGCCGACGCAATGACCCGCCCCACTGCCCAAATCCACGCAATACTACTCGCCCAGACTAGCCCGCTACTGACAGGACTATTTACCCACGGGTATCAAACAGACCCATTCTTCACCGGAGGCAATTCGCAGCAGTTCGCAGCAGCACGAGGGGTCTATTACGTAAAAACCGGGACCGACCGCATTTGGGTACCCGGGTATACACTACTACGGGAATTACTGTTACAGGAGGCACACGACGGAGTTACCTCGGGACATTTTGGTATAGAAAAAACACGGCAGCAGTTGCAGCGGTATTATTACTGGCCAGAAATGTTGCCCGACATCCAACGACACGTGGCATCGTGTCCCACCTGCCAGGTCATGAAATCATCACGGAAGCGGCCGGCAGGACAGTTGCAGCCGATTCCACCCCCAGAGCGTGCTTGGCAGCAGGTGACGATGGACTTCGTCACGGGGTTACCGGCCGGGGCGAGTGGGAACGACGCGATCCTGGTCGTCGTCGATCGACTGACGAAAATGGCACATTTCGCAGCTTGCAAGAAATCAATCACAGCCAAAGAAACAGCCCGCCTCTTCATCGCCACCGTTGTTCGCCTCCACGGGATACCATCTGCAATTATCAGCGAACGCGACACGAAATTCACCAGCAACTTCTGGCGGAACCTGTGGCAGCAGTTTGGCACACGACTACAGTTCAGTTCTTCGTACCACCCCGAAACGGACGGGCAGACAGAACGGACAAACCAGACCATGGAGCAGCTCATCCGGGCCACGTGCGACGACCCGAACACGTGGGAACAGCAACTGCCACTCATTGAATTCGCGTACAACAACTCGCCCTCCGCCACGACCCAATAGTCACCGTTTTACCTAAACTACGGACAGGACCCAACAGTACCCATGACCCCAAATCCCGACAATCCAGTCCCACGCGCACAACAGTTCGCCGAAATTTTGCAAGCAGCACGGACCAGGGCAACAGTCGCAATTAAAAAAGCCAACATCATCGCTAAGCGCAACGCCGATCGCCACCGCCGACCTGTCACTTACCAGCCAGACGACCTAGTACTACTCGATACTCAGAACCTCCGCCTGCCCATCACTCCAAAACTTCGCCCCCGATATTGTGGGCCATTTCGCATCAGCCACATGATCACACCCGTCACCGCCCACCTCCTCCTCCCTGCTGACTGGTACGTCAGCCCGTCATTCCACGTCAGCCTACTTCGCCCTTACATCCCATCCACGAGCCAACTGCCACGAAATCGCCCAGCCAGCATGACACGCCCCCCA